GGTAATGAAGAAAAACTTTAATATAAGTTTAACATAACAGCAAATGTGTAGAACGTTTCGACAAGGTTTTGTCATCATCATTATATTTACCACGCGACTTTTCCTACGCTTTCTAAGATATGATGATGTAAAATCAAAAGTTGTGTTACTATAAGAGAGGGAGGGTTTCATTAAGGTTGGGCAGCCTTACCTTATCCTCAGACCACAGGTGGAATAAGGCTTCTGTTCCACCCCCTCCCTCTCCAGTAAAAATTATGCATTTGACAAAAGAAAAAAAGTTATATATATATAAAACATACTTTGGGATAAATTGGGGGGGGGGGTTCTAGCTCCACCACTGCCTTAGGGTTATAGGACAACGCAGGTAAAAAAAAAAATCCATCTTTGTAGTATTGTTTGTAATCATGTATTTTTTTTACTTTTTTTTCCTTCATATATTATTTAAGTAGTTCACAGTTTTAACTAACTTCTAAGTGGGCAACGTATTAAATTTTAATTGGGACCATCTTCACCCCTCCTGTATGGTTGGAAAAGCAATTTACTCTAAAGGTTTTTTTGTTTTTCATTTTGAACTTTATTAGGGTCAGGGTCTTGACTTCCGGGGCTCTTGAAGATGCGGTCTCTATTACTAAGGGCCATATCTCTGAGTTAGTAGTTTTTTTATAGACCACGAAACGTGCGCGGTTAAAGTGGCATCATTCAAATCTCCCCCTAGTGACAAGAATAGAGGAATCTTACACGACAATGATAAAACCGAATACTCGGGATAAACGTTATCTCAAGTGGTGCGTTGCACCCTGGATAAGATTAGACCAAAGCGTCTCTTTTCCCCCCTTCTGTCGCGCTTCGCCATGTGGTATTGTTATCAGACAACATTTTACTTCGTAGGCAATACGTGTTTTGAAGAAAAGGGGCCGTTGTAATAGTTCTTGAAAATAGCTTTGTTAGCACATCTAACAAGCTGCGATAAACTTTATTTGACTTGCAAGTTCTGTAATATTCATTTGATTACCTTGCGTTATCAGAGGTACTTAATTGAAAGTTCAAAGGTTCGTATAGCTGTTCCAAGTTAACGATATCTGTGTATGCCCCCCCCTATCAAATCGAGTACCACTGTTTGTTGATTAGTGTATTTATTAAAAATCTTCCCAGTTTCATACTACACTAAAATAAAAAGTACAAACTTTCAGAACTCATTTTCAAGTTCACCAATAATTCAAAATTGTACTGTAAAATTCTTTCTTTGCTCTCCCCCCCCCCCCCCCCCCCCCCCC